CATTTGGCCGATAACGTCTCCGCAAAACTTGGAGAGATTGGCTTTCGTAGTCTCCGGAATTTCATCAATGACACTCTGCACGTCGACTAAAGGTTCCTGCTTGCGACAAAAAACCTCCAGCTTTCGCCCCTGCAGCGATGGCCGCTTTCTTGGGCGAATAGTGCAAGTTCTTTGAGCCGCAATGCCCGCAAAGGGGCAAGCTAGTCGGAGTCATCTTCAAGCATTGTTCACACGCAGCTTGGCACTTCCCACGCACATAGCCCTGGGGTCGTGCGAGCAAGAGGGCTGACTCCTTCTCCTTCACCGACATTTCTGAAGCAGACACGGTCTTTCTGAACAATTCGCAATGGCGATCGACCAAGACAACATTTCGATTCACTGCGCACTTGTGGACAAAGCCAATGCGCTTCCAGCCTGCTATGATGTGCTCTTTGTTGTACCCATATTCCCAAATTTCATGCGCAGCATCAAGGACCTCTAACTGCGTAGCCGGCATTGCTTCACGCCGGATCCTTTGCCACTTCCGTTCTGCTTCGCAATTGGGTGTCTGGTCTAGACACATGACTGCTTTGGTCAAATATGGGCCCAACAGGTACAGGCGCACCCCAAGTTTGTGACACACTAGGGTGCATTGCGTGCTCAAATGCACTAAAGAGCCTCCCCCGGAATCACAGACTAAGACCAGCTGTTGCGACTCAGGCACTTTGAGCACCTCTCTGCAATGTTTTGCCCATAGGAGGACAAACTGAGAGAAGAGGTCGGCAGTGCAGGATCCTTTCTCATTCGAAGCTATGTTCGCTTCTGGCCACACAGTTTGCCATGACTTCATGAAGCTGCTGCCCTGCAAAATCACATTGGGAGGCCCGACATGGCCATCCAAGGACACAAATGGCAGCAGAGTCACATGCCCCCACGAAGATGAACAAACCTCTGCCGTTGCCTGCCCCACAGCTTTCGGCGCTGCCACACGATGGAACTTGACCTTCCCGTCCGTCGACTCTAGGCCTTTCTCGTCACACGCCCACAAAGCGGTGCCTGCAGCATCCGTGAGACGACCATTCTTCAAGAGCCCCACCTCTTCCAGCAGCTTTTCCCGACATGGAGAGATAATGAACCCTTGCGTGCCTCCCGAAAATATAACATGACCAAACATGAGCGCAAGAGAATTTGACCGCTCAGGGTGTTGCAAAGTTTTCGTCGCATCCAAGTGGCCAAGGAGTCGTAGAAATTAGACACTGCCGCAGGTGTGCAACATGCGGCCACTTCTCCTTTCAAGGAGAAAACTGCTCGGTCCCGAATGGCCCACTCCTTTGGGTAAGTCTCCTGGACCCATTTCTTGAAGTCGCACCACACCTTGTCTAGCGGGCGTTCGTACCTCATATCCAGCGGTGCAGGCTGCACTGCTTCTGGCATCTTGCATCCGCAAAGTCTTAACAAAAAACACCTAACACATGGCGCTTGATCCGAATTCTTTCAAAACAGTTCTCTTATAAATGATTACGCTCAAAGAAGAAAGCAGCCGGGGCACGCGGAGTAAGCATCCAAGTCAATGGCTGCATCATGTTCCTTCAACTGCTTCTCTGTCAGGACACCTTCGTTCCACAGAACAAATTTGAGAATGCAGCACTTGACCTCTTTGATGGTAAGCGTTCGGTTGCTCAAAGCACACAACATGATGTGTGTATGCAAGTCCTTCTTCTGAGCATGGGTCAAAAGGCCAACTCCGTACCTGCCAGCCATGAAGGCCTGCGGCAGGTTGGAGATGTCGTGACCCTTCTCCACACAGTCAGCTTCATGCTCTTTCACCCGAGCAAGCTTCAGGCGGTTTAGCTTCCACGGCTCAAAGCGTCGTTCCGCTTCTTTGTTTGTCCATTTCTCCTGCTTCGATAAGGCTGCTGCATCCAAGTACATGGCATAGAAATCCTCCACAGGGACGATGTTTCTCTACAAATTCTAAAATATTTACCGGGGTTTGGGGATGGCCGTGCGAGAGAGCCGCGAGTGTACGCGAGAGGGCCGCGAGGCTTAGACCAATCCACCCCTACAACCAGCACTTGCGAGGCGGCCGCAAGAGATGAAGGGTACATGTGTTTCCCCCCCGCCTGGGCACGCTTCAGTTGCACGCTCTTGCTCGGATTCCTCAAGTCTGCCCAGCGCTCCTGAAAGGCAGCCATGGTCAGAGTGCGCGAAGTAGGAACAACCATCTGCGGCTGACGGGTCTCCAAACTGCTTCCTGTCTTCGCATCTTCACAGACTGCCTCTGCGTGACCACAAAAAACGAGAGTATGCCACTTTCCAATCCGACTGAGCTTCTGGGCTCATATCCTTCCACTGCTGCAAGGCGTCTCGCCCAGTGATGGCCGAGCCATCGAACTCAGGACCAAGCTCCCGACAAACTCGCTGATACAAGCTGCACCACGACCAGTTTTTGGGCTTACCTTGCCGCAGGTCCTCCTGAACTTCTGGAACAGGCTCGCTTCCTAGGCAAGCAGGCTCTGCGCATGCTTTGGCCGCCGCTGCTGGCTCACAAGAAACAGGGGACAACGGCCGCATGGTGTGGTCTTCAGCTGCGTGTGCCAAGCGGGTCACCTGCGTAATGTCCTCGCCAAGTCTGGCTGCTAGTTCCTGGTTCGATCTGTCAGGTGAAATGTTTTGAAAAACTTGCAAAAAAAAAACACATCACACACGCGTGAACACAAAAGCAACACCAGCACATTCAATGATTCTCTTCTTCAAGCCCGTCCTCATCAAAGCAAGGTCGGCAATACAGCGGCAAAGCACTCTGATTGCTCTCACCGATCACTTGCTCGCATTTCGCACAAAGGTTCGGCTCTGGAGGTGAAGCAGGTGGGGGCAAAGGAGGAAGAACTTCAAGAGGACACCCTTCAGAGCGATCCGCATGCTCTACGGTGGACTCATCTGCGCGAACGACCGGCTCTGGAGGTGAAGCAGGTGGGGGCACAGGAGGAAGAACTTCAACAGGACACCCTTCAGAGCGATCCGCATGCTCTACGGTGGACTCATCTGCGCGAACGACCTCATCCAATGCGGAGAAAAGAAAAACCCTGCGCATTCTGGCTGCCTGTGCATGGTGTAAACTTCCGCTATCTCTCTATGTATCTATGTGTGTATCTATCTATCTATCTATCTATCTATCTATATCTATATCTATATCTATATCTATCTGTCTATCTCTATATATACATATATATATACTGCATCCATGTATGCACTCTGGCAGAAAAACAATAAGAGAGAGAGAGAGAGGGAGAGAGAGCCAATGCCCTCCAGGTGCCCTCCAGCCAAGGTGCATGGAGCCACCTATAGCTCCTAGTGCCCTGCTGGTTCTACTGGGGGTCCTCCCAGCAGCAGCGAAATGTTTTGAAACACGGTCCAAGGGAGTGCAGACCAAGATGCTGCACACTCCTCTGCCTTTGGCAACCCATCTCTCAACCAAAGCTTCTTCTTCTCCTGGCAAAGCTTCTGCAGGTCTGCCCTGCTTCGTGAAGAATTCTCTTGGCAAAGTTTGAGTAGTGCATCTGCTACCTCCAGGTGTAAGGGGGGACAAAAGCAAATGCGGCCAGAAGCTTTCTTGGAAGGATAGTGCACTGCCTAGTTGCGAGTCTCACCATGTGCGAGCTGAGGGATCACATGTCCCTTGGAGTCACCCTCCCTCGCTTGGACGCCTGCCATGTGCCACTGCGATATGCCTGCCAATGTGGCCAATCCTCCCGTGGGCGCTGGTGATCACGAGCCCACCGGCAAGGAATACACACAGTGCCACGAGATACCACCTTGCCACCACTCAGGACAGAGGTGTTCCACGGCTCCGCTTCTGATTCTGCAACCCCTGCAGCTCCAGGACGGCACCCTGAACACACTGAGCAACACAAAGAGCGCTCTGTTGACCCTGTCGGGTTCCGATTGTGGACAGCAGGCTGTGAAGGCCTGCGTTCTCGCAAGAAGGCCTCGCAAGAAAGCAAAGTAGCTAGATCAGCGTCGTCCAGCAAGCGTTTCCTTGCAATGGACGAGGCGTGCTCCGATCATGCCACACGTATGCACATATGTGCGTCAAACAAAATACATGACCCACACAAAAGAAACACCACAGGGACATATCCGAGCGTCAATCTCCGTTTCACAGGAGCTCTCTCATCCACATTGCTCATGTTTGGACCCAAAATGGGCTGCTCGAGCTGGCATCTTTCTCCAAGAAACGGCCCCTGGTGAGGCTCCCCAACTACATGACATTGCCAACCAAACTTGTTGTAATGAATAGAGTTCTCAAAGCAGAATACATGAACAACAATCACACCTGCAAGGAAAAACACCAGTTGAACTACACGCACTTGTCCACAATGATGTCTGCCCCCCCAAGGCCACAAGTGATTTCATCAAGTAAACATGCAAACACATCCTGCAAAACAACCGTCCCCCCATGGCCACAGAGGATTGATACGACTTTTCGTGGTGAGATACGATTTGGGTCAAGTACCAAGTATCAGGTTGTGAACGGATATTTTGCTTGCTGGCCTCACACCATTAGTGATCTCAAAGACTCAGGGAGTAATGGATATTGTATAGATGATATGATATGATATGATATGATATGATGTATACACGTGTGCGAGGCCCATGTTTGTCAAAGACCTCGGTCAAATCCCTTCCTCGTGTCATATTTTTGTCTGTCTACGCACAAGCCCCCAGACAAGGCAGAATTTTTGGGTGTCAACCTTTGGATACGAGGCTTGCGCACAAACAACCCTGCAACCAGGAAGAACACCGTGGCGCCGTGGCAGGTATTGGCAAGCTGTGAGAAAATCGTTGTATAATCTTCTACATTCTTCTACCTTTGTAGACCCATGACAGCGACATCTGGGTACTGTGCTTCGCTTGCTGAGCATGCTCAGTGAATGAGAAGAATCAAAGGGCGTCTTTCACACGCTTCGAGGGAATGAGAAGATTCAGCTTCTGTGCACCCAAAACTCGCCAGCGGGCACTGCTTCATGTTGTCATGAAGCGTTTTTGGAATCTTATCCTCAGTGGCCAGCGAGACATCGCCAGTCGAAATAGACTTTCACAGGGGGTCAGTTTGGATATGCCTGCTTTATCCATACTGTTATGGAGGGGAACACATTTCCTGGGAAGAATACAAGCACTGGGATGCAATGCTATGCAATGGGCACTAGGTCGGGTACTAATAACTCACAAATCACGCTTGGAACATTCAGAAGGCAAAAAGAGGATCAGCATACAGAATGATTACTGTAATGTAGACTCTTGATTAACATACCCCCCCCATTTGAATTGAACATCCTCGTCAAAAGGGGTGTCTATTAAAATTCTACAGGCTGCAGGGCCTGAATACGTCACACCAGCCCGGGAATTAGCGGAACCTCGGCTTTTTGGGACGAAGCCGGGAAGGGCCAGGAATCAGCGGAAGAGCGGGGCGAAACAAGAGAAGCACGCCTTCTGACGGATGAAGAGATCAACTGAGCAACAATATCGACCCGTTTCTATTGAATCTAATGGATGGGTGTTGAAATAGGAAGAAGGCCTTCCCCCAAAAAACAAAGCATCACCCCAAAATAGGAGAAGTACACTAGACAAATTGGTTAACATCTACGACCCTCAGACGTCGATTGGTGACCTTTTTGGAAGGTGCCTCAGTAGGTTGCACATACCAGAACAATGCCATTTGTAGTTTAAGGGGTAGCCCATTGGACCCGCAGTTTGCAGGTGGTCGGCCCTGCGTATATCACGACTATTGCCAAAATGCAGGCCCAACTATGAGTAGCATCGAATTCATGTCTTTGGATTTCTTCACCCCTTGCAACATCTCAGATGTTTGGCCCCAGCACAAAGCATAGCTATCAAGTCATGACGTGTTTCTCCCGGCGTCACGAGTCATCACGTGTCGTCCCCCCCTTCCTCATGCCAGGTGTCCGAAAAGCGGTCGAACATGTCTTGGAAGGTCGTGAGACCTGGTGCCCCGACCCCGGCCAGGCGTCCCTGAAAAGGCGTCCCCGTGGCCGGATCCGAGTCGGGCAGGAATTGGGGGCTCGGTACAGGCTGCAGGTCATTCAGTAGGTTGGCCAGTGCCTCTAACACACCTCCAGCATTCTAAGGATTCCATAGTAAGGTTTCGGCCCTTTCTGATTTGTTTGCGTAGAACCGATCCTCTGAAAGGAAACCCAAACATACGTATTATAGACACCCCTCCTTTTCGCAGGCAATCTACTTGACCAACACGCTTTCCACTAGAAGCGCAGACATGCGCAAACTATTCCTGAAATCTTTTTAAGAGGCCAAAGGTCTTCGGAGGAGCTATCAGGAGGTTTCTGATCCAAAAACTCAATGATGGAACTTCCACAGCGCCTGAAAACTGCTGCGTCAGTACTCATAGAAAATTGTTTGCGCAACCTCGTATAATGTGCTTTGTTAGGAATGCCACTTGAAGCGGGATTTGTTGCATCACACGTATCAAAGGTCGTCTCTTCCGACTGTGTTGTTTTGAAACTTATTGTATGGCATATATTCCTACATTAACCCCCCAAACCACCCCAATGTAGGCAAATATGGCATAGATGGAGTGTCTGGGTTCTGGTTGGTGTAAGTTCTGGCACTTCTCGACCAGTACGCATGGCACGTGGCCATGAGCAAACTCATCTTCCATCTTCCCCCCCCGACTGGTCCACACTGCCCGCTCTATCAGCTTCAAGGTCTTAACTCTGACTTCGCAAAAAGTCTTTGCTTCAAGAAACATCAAAACCATTCAAAACCCAACCCACTCGTGTACCTACAACTTCTTCAGGATTCTTTGCCCAAGCACGTCATTCTTCGAACAAACAACCGCACCGGGCCATGGCCACCCCGCAGCACCCCCCATCCGTTTTCCCAGCGGCTGGGCAAGCATTCCGCGCCCGTGCCGGTGACGTTCACCGAGACCGAGTCGTAAAGATCAAAGTCTTCACCAGTGGCTGCGGCAGATGGCGCTCAAGACGGCGGGGCGATTTCTCGCGCGGTAGCTGCGGACCGGACAGCAGGGCGGTAGAAGGGCGCGGGGCGGGGCGGAGGGGAGTTGGGGAGCTGTTGCAGGTTTTGGGGCAGAAGGCGGAGGGAGTAGGGGTTGGGGGGTCCATCTGATTCGGAAAGTCCAACACTTTGTGCAGGAAACTTGACCTGAACCTCTTCCAAGTTTGACATGTCCACAGGTGGGCAAGGAAGCCTTTTGTGCTTCGACATGTTGTTCTTCTGTTTGGGCCTTCACATGCTAGATATTCAAGGGTGTGCCTTTATCCAGGCATGCCTAGGTCCCTTATATACACATGGATCTTCAAACGAAACGGCACTATTTTTTTGCCGCGCAAACGTTTTTTTTTCAGTGACAAGACGCCGTTATATAAAATAACTATTGCTGTTTCAGGGGTTGCAAACATGTGCTCAAAATACAGGGAAAAATGCCGTTTGGACGCCTACCTGCCGGTTTCCGCTTGTCACAACAAAACATGCCGTCTTTGAAAAAGAACGTCGTAACAGCTCGTTTTCTTGAAAGGGGCAATCATTTGCGTCGTTTCGAAGATATCTAAGATCCAGGTATATAAATATGATGCTCCTTACATATCTACATATCTACATGCTGGCTATACCCATGGAAACCTAGGTGAAACATTCCATTGAAAACCAACATAAGTTTCTGTAAGATTCAATGAAATCCAATAGAAATCAGCAACATGTCTGCTCCAAAGTCAATACAATGTTCAATTGAACACCAACAGGAACTTCTGTGTCAAATTTCACATTCTATTGAAACATTGTGAAACAATGCGATTTCAATCGCTGTTGATTTGTTCCTTCCTTCGAAATCAATATATTTATTGAACCGGATTGCCCGGAAAGAGTACGGGCCGTCTTTCAAATATGCTACTCAAAAAACTTGAGAATCAGCAATCAAAGCCCAAGATTACTTATGGTGCACAGTGGCACAAGTCAGGAATTAAGACTGGGGCGGCCTGGTCAGAGTTTCTGGAGATACGTTATTTGGAGTCGCTCCATGCATGGGCCTCATTGGTTGTCCACCTTGCAACCCGTGACGTGGGTCATGCAAATACCCGAACTGATTAGTGAAATTCTTGCAACGACTGGTTGTGGTGAGTCCTATGCTTTAAAAAAAACAACAATGTGAAAGATTGAATCAAACATAGTTTTGAAGATTCTTACACGTCCCATACATCTGGAAAACACATGCCGGACTCTCAAGCAACGTAGATCCAAACTATAGATCGTATTGAAACTTGAGTTGGTGTCCCACTCTGTCCAAACTCTATCAACATCTTTCAAATCACCAGAATCGGCATCCGAACTCTCGATGGCCACAGCATTCGCCAACTCCCCATGGCCACAAACAAATCGGCTCGCGTCTTCCGACACGTGACCCGCCTCGCGCTTCTCGTTGCCCGTGGAAAGGATCGGCGGTCACATTAGTTCCTCGTCGTTTCGCGGGGCCACGAGCTGGAACGAGCTGCCCCCCGGCCGACCGGGCCATCCATCTGGTCGGCACGTCAACCCAGCGAAGGAAAGATGGACTGAAGCCTGGATTATAGAGTGTGCTTCTCCTGTTTTTCACGGCCTACCAGGGGCCCCACAAACCATCAAACACCGTGTTTTCCCTAGCAAACAACATGGTTGTTGTATGTGAAAACCTTTGTTTTTCATGGTTTTTGAGGGTCCCGGGTGCACACCCGGATCTTCGTCTCCTGCCTGGGGGAACCCCCCCTCTCCACATAGTAGTCCTGCTTGCAGGACGCGCACAAAAGCTCAAAGCGAAGGGTGAAAAAACAATCACCATGCCTACAAGGCCTACAACCTACATCAAACAGTTTCTCCAGGGATGTTAACCTACTGAGGTTTTTGCTGGTCTTGTTATCTTAGTTTTCCACCCATGTGTCTCTTATGGCACAACCAAAACCTCTCTGTGTCAATTGCTGGAAATGGATCTGGCAAAACCAAATCTTTGATGAGTATGGATGGCCAGTGGAAAACCAACATGTTCAACTCTGAATTTTGCACGACATGTTGGTTCTCAGATGTGCAAGAGACCTGTCTCAACACCCGACATCAATTCAACACGTGTCGTGTGGACGTGCCTGCGTCTGCCGGATCCGGATGCTGGATGTGATGCCCCCCCCCTCCGGTTTCTCCTGAGCCTCCTTGAAATCCTTCCAATAGTTTTCCCAACGTCTCCTTGGGAGCTCTCGTCGCCGAACATGACCAACGTCACAGTCGTACAGTCAGTCTCTGGACCTGCTATCCCCAGGCGAAGCCGTTTTGCTCCCAACCAGCCAGCCAGTGAGATGACTTGCATTGATTTCCTAACTCATCTGCTGCACTGTTTCATCCAAATCAGTCCAGCATGGCTAGAACCTCAAACCAAGCAACACCATACCTTCCACCATACGCCATGTTCAAAAGAAAAAACAATTTCCGAACATCCACGGAACACATCGACCGAGTTGGGGGGGCCACCTATGGCCTTAACAGACTATAAATTACCAAACATGTTCTATTCTGCTTGCATTGATGATGCAGATCTCATGTGTTTAGAGTCAAAAATAACTTCACGCCGACGACCCACAAACTCACAATGCTCCGCAACCAGAGGGCATCCAGCTCAATCTGTTCTGATTTAAAAGTGAACCACACCATAACATATATATTCGACACATCCGATATCATTTGCTCCCACACAAATTCATAGATGTTCTACTCTTTTGCCTATGACAGAACCTTTCATGGGAATGAGTTGAACGAAGGTCTATGGGTTTACAGAGTTCATCATGTTTGCCCCCCCCACACCGCACACCCCACAGGCATTGCCGAAGGTGAAAAGAATTGGAGTTTCTCCCGGTCCCGCCTCAAAGTGGCCCAAATGGGTGTGTATTTCAATAGGGAGACCCCAAACCAATGGGTACTACCGTGGTCATGACTGGTCTATTTCCCTTCCGGCTCAGGACGCCTGGGAGGTCTCTCTGAGCTACACTGCGACCTGACGTTTTTGGGTCCCAGTCTCTTCTCTGCATCCTCCCAAGACCTCGGCGAAAGCATCGCGCCAAGAACGGTCACCCGGAGAACGGAACTCACCAGAGTAGGTGGACTTCCTTAGCACCCTAAAGATCCAGTCGCTTCTCAGGTACGATGAGGACTGTTCGACACTCAAACATGTAGGCCAGGAGGGTCCAGTCGTACCGGATCCCTAGGGGCAGTCCGTGGGAACCCCGGCGCCATGACCCACACCCATACACATTGGGCACTAGCTGTTGACGGGAGGGATTGCTCTGGTGGTTTACGGAGGTGTCTTGAAAAGAAACCAAATAAACAGCCACCCTCAAGACTCCTCCGGAAAATCTCAGCCAATTCTTGGCTTGGAGAGAGAAAATCAAAGTGGCTTTAACCGTTTGATTGGAACCAACGCGTTCAGCACATGCAGAAAACAACAAAAACTGCGCTTTTGGGTTCTCGCATGCTGTGCGGCAACATCGAGCGCCAGAAACCGACAGACTTACAACCTATAGGCCTATATGGTTAAAACTGTGCTAACATACTATATGTATAATACAGTGTATATATAAATTTAATGTACCTGTCCTTAAGTCTCTGTGAAGGTTAGGCTTGGATAATTATATATATATAGTAAGAGCTTAGATAGAGTTTTGTCAAAAGTCAAACCTAACTCAAATAAAGCTAGCTTGGAATCAGTTTGGAATAGTTTGGACATAGTAAGTCCAACCCATGTCCGACCGAAGTCCAAACCAAGCCTGAGCCAAGTCCTACGTAGCCAATCTGGCAGAAAATACTTTGACAAGTATTATTAACCCTTTTAGGCCTGAAGTAACATCAAGAACTGTCACTTCGACCAATGCAAGCTTGTTGTTCAGAAATATTACGCTGATTATTAGTAAACAAAGGGAGATCTTTGTAGTGCAGACAGCGCCACTGGAGACGCACAGAAGGATGCCACCATCAGTAATGATCATTAAACAACAAAAGTGGAAATTCAGTTTAACATCCGCCGAAGACATCCGCTGTTGCACTGTGAGCCATCATCATCCGTCATCCACAGCGCCGGCGTGAAGTGGTTGTTTTTGTTGGAACCTCTCAACACGAAGGCATATATTGGGATACTGCTGCTGCTAGTAGCCAAACGGACCAGATACCGACCCTTGCTTTAAACTTCTTGATAGTTTCTTACTGCAACCTCTATTATAAAAGTTAGACTTGACGTAGCTTGGACTCAGCTAACTCTATAGAGGTTAGCAATTGCTCTGTCTCAAAGTTAAGTAAGCTAAAGCTAACTTGGACTTAGCTCGGACTTAGTCAGTCCAACCTAAGTTCAGCTGAAGTGTAACCTGAATGCAAGCTAAGCCTACCTTCACTAAGTCCAAACTAAGTCACTGCTAAGATCTGCTAAGCGTTTAACTTGTATATGTCTATCTTAAACTTACAGTAGCTGTCGACTCAGCTAGCTGTCGACCCGGCGGTCGTTCAGTGAAAGGAAACGGGGCCGCTCAGTGCTGAGCGCCGCTACAAATCATGCGTTCAGCAACACAAAATCCGAATGTCTGAACTTCCTGTGTGTTGATAACCTCCAAAGGATTCCAAAGGTGTTTTTTTGACAAGCAAACATTGCCAAGGCGCCAAGGGTGGTGCCGATGGCACTTTCTATTGTGTCTTCTTCAAGTTCTTGTGTCTTGCGTATTGATCTTCTGGTATGGAGACATCGGCAACATCGATTCTGTTTGGTCAATTGGAAACTAAACAAGAACAAATAAACACATCCAAGAACGCAATTAAAAAAACAAAACGCCGATATCTCCGTTTGGCAATCGATCCGCAGCTGCCGCTGATCCATCTGGGTTGCAGCTAAGCTTCTGTGCTGTCTGGGCTGCAGAGCCACCCCAATTGCCCCAGCTATCATTCTGCTGTGCAGGCTGCTGCGCAGGCTGCTGTGTGCCAGACCAGTTTCCCCAAGCGGCATCGCCACCGGCCTAGGCAGGCCGATCCGATTGAAAGTCATGCTCAATTGGATCTGATTGGAAAGCGGCTAAGCATGGCGACTCCGCTGGGAAGGGGTCCTTTCGAAGTTGTCAACAAAGAAGTTGAGCACCTTGCAGCACCTTGCATTTCATTGACATATAGACGATGTAGGTCGGAGGCCTGGAAAATGGTTACGCTGAGAAAAAAGGAACATCTCCGCCTTTGGGAGCTCTTGAAACTGATTTTGCATGGACCCACCTCTAAACTTGTGGCCTATGCCATGCACCTGAAAATGAGCCCCAAACGCAGCTTGCCCCACGGATGTCAAGATCCGTAAGGTGGTAAATCCGCCAAACCGGTGTCCTCGAGAGTTCAAGGGGGTGGATCTCTGGCTCGAACGATCTCCGACATCGTCCAGCGACCGACAGAGACGACACCCCCCGTGCGATCGACACCAAGTGCAGCCGGACGAACTCCGTGTTTTGACCGAACAAACAGAACCAACATACCATGTACCAAAATACGGCCCCCATCGAAACCCGGGAAACCATCGATTGGGTGCGCCAAAAGGGTAAGACACCCTAATTGAGGAACAAAACAATGGCTGGCGCACCATCCATGCAGTGTCCAGCGAACCAGCGAAAAGGATTCGGCTCAAGAAGCTTCTTGTTTTGAGACACAAGTTTTAGAGCACCAACTCGGATTATTCTTTCTTGGCCAGCCCAGGCTTTTACACACTTTGATCATCTTTGATCCAAAGGTTGCGACTGGAAACCCATAATATGGCCGATATCCCTTTCTTAGAGGCAGAGTCCAACATCTTCAGAGTTTGTGATATTTTCTTTGGTATCTTAACGTGACAAAATCATCTGAAAAGGCCCAAGAACCAAGAAATTGGATTTACTCCAGCACCGGTCCATAGACTCAAACTCCAGTTGCTTTGAGCACGGTGCATTGACTCCAAATCTTCTGTGCATGGCATGCAGCCACTGGGACGGCCATATGTACAATTGACCGATCAGTTGGGGTGCTTTGGGGCATCAACGCAGGCCACCATATATTTGCATATCACACACGGAGCGTCTCTGTCTTTTTTTTGGTGACGTCTCCTAACGTGGACAGTGCCGTCGTCGGTTCGGAAGAAGCGAACCTGAAGAACGCACCTGGTTTTTCAGAGAAACATCGCTGAGCCCGTTCCACCCAAGCGGCTTGGGCCTTTGGCTGGGGTGCATCCCGCTAGTTCAATCTATTTGAGACGACACTTATAGGTGGCTCATGGTGGTTCCGTCAAACTCCTCGGCCATTGGAGGACCAAAGAGAAGCACCATCTTTGCACCGGTCGAGACCGGCTGGCAGCCAGGTTTCTTGATTTTGTTGACTCCATCCATTATCCTCGGCCATCGCAGGATCTATCCTTTCACGAAGACGAGCGACACCTCAAAAACCTCCGAGCTCACAAACAAGGATATGCACGAGATCCTGTGGCCTATCGCGTCATTCTGGCCATGACTGCGGCCTCTTGACGTATTGCTGAGAAGAGAAAAGACAAACACATACAAAAACAGTCCTTGGTGCGAATTGCGGATCCGCAAATCCACTTCAAGAGCAAGTAACCTGGTTCCAAAGAAACTGTTCCCTGCGGGAGGTTCTGCCATGTTTTCTGGCCAAAAGGCTTGTCCTCCCTGGTTCCAGCCATTGTCCTTAGCCGCTAGCCCCAAGCTGGCACGAATCGAGTCTCTCTTCCCGACATCCTCCAGGTGCGTCCTCCCATGGTCTCACTATGCGTCATGATGCAAACCAGCGGGTGAACAAATCTTCGATCTGCCCGGGTTTCGCAACATGTCACAACCAAACGTGGGCAATGCATGGTCCAAAGATGGAAACACAACATGTCGAGTCAACAGGGGCTGCTTGGACCTTACCTAAAAACCGCCATGCAGAATTGGTGGCCTTGCTGCAAAACACAGCACTCAACACTGAAGGGAAGCTAGCGAAACTGTCCGCCAAATTGGCCCTACATCTCAGCACGTCTGTATGCACGAGTTACACATTCATCGAGACGAGACAAACAGCCAGCTGGGATGCTGTTCCTCGGGGTTCCGTTCCCGCAACTCGGCGATTGGGTGCCCAACAGCATGCTCGTCCTAAAGGAATGCGGGTGTGTAAATTGATGGGAGCCCAAACCCAATAACGCTAATAGGTTTGGTCCATGTTCCTTTTTCCGGGGGGGTCGAACTGGGAGGTCTCCCTACTTTTTTACAAACCCATGTTGTGGGAGGCCTCAAACACTTTTAGGGCCGTGCTTCTTGCGCTCCTTGATTCCAATCCTCAGTGATTGCACAGGTGGCTGGTGATGGTTTGAACAATGCCCCATGCAAGTCGAAAACATTATAGGCAAAAACAGTCAGACTCAAATCAAATCAATGTTCCAGCACCCCCATTTGGTGCTGGCGAGGCCCTATACTTGGTTTTTCGGTCAGAAGAGCTTGCGACAGTCTTCAAAACCAAAGACTGCAACAGTGTACAGCACACTTTGGTCTGTTCAGCACAGTGCACTGCAAATGAGTTCATCTTCCGTGTTTGGTGTACATTGTGCAACCAAACTCCTTTTGGTCGTTTCGTCTATTCCTTACCCTCTCACACCTCAGCATGGTCATGTCAGCACTTTCGCATGACACCCATACCACATATCCCCCAAACAGCTGCAAATGATTCCCGGCTGGAGCTGAAACCTCCCTCCAAATCGCCTCGCATCCGGTTCGGAACATCCCAAATCGCATCCGAACGGGGAGCATGGTATAGTTTGGTATAGTATATGAGGTGCAAAAGGATGCGATTGCCCTTGACACCTTCAAACACATTTAAATCATGACCAATAAGCCCTTAAAAACGTGTTGAATCCACTGGTTGGTCTGGGGAACATGGTGCGTCGGTCTTCTACCATCTTCTACCCAACACTCGACACGAAGACTGTTTTATCACTCCATGGAAGAACCAAGGTTCTGCAGCTTGTGGAGCTTGGGCTGGCTGTGTATTGTGTGCATAACCTCGAAATGCAAGGGGAGATGGCCAGTACCCGAAGCGGGCCCGCACTGTTGCTGGAGGCTCCAGTAAAGCCCTCTCAATACTGTCATGATTTCGGCTATAGAAACATTCACCCCATCATGGCTTGATTGCGCTTGCGAAAAAGCAAACACTTGCGACCCGGCGGGCACTAAGTCACTAAATGGACCGGCTGGGTGTGTGAGTGTCTGTTTATACGCAGAAAAAGACGTAGAAATAGGAGCTGACAAGCGGCTTCTCCATGGAAAGGGGTTTGTCTCCATCAAGTCACCAAAATGATTGGTTTACAATGGTTTACACAAGCATTGACCCCACGGCGGAACCGGTGACCGGATTGGGCGTGGCCACCATGAAGAAACCGATCTGATGAGGATGAGACTATGATATCTGTCCAATCGATGCAAGCGGTTGGCCTTTCTCTGCTGGAGAGAACACCTCTGACACACAGGCTCCTCAATGCAAAGCTGTGCGAGTGTGGCGAGTAGATGTACCAAGGCACCACCATCCTGACTCCACTGTTGTTCTCCTGGCTCCGAGCTACTAACACGGAGAGAGCACTGTTCAGGTGGAACAGCTCCCGCGGGACGTCCGCGAGGTGTGGGGAAGGTAAAAAGCAAATTCATCCTGAGGCATCCCAAATTGAAACGGCCGGAAAGAAACACAAAACAGGAACATATGTGTCTCCGATTCGGATGGGAATCTTTTAAACGTAAGAGAGCAACTCATGTAAGATTAGGTGGTAATTGTCTCCCTTGTTAATGCACCCTCCAACTTCTTGCGTTGTTGTCATTTGTTCCATAGACTTCTCTCAGCCTTGTCTATATACGCGTCCACATAGCAACGGTGGGTTACAACTCGCCTAGGATGACTGATAACACAACAACCTCGTGCCATCTGTATCCCCAAGGTGTTATTTTTTTGCCAAACTGTCACATCCATTCTGACTCCAGCATTGCATGGTGTACCTCAAAGTCGGCAAGTGCTCCAAATAATCCAACACACACCGTTAGAACATATCAAACGCAAGAAAGACACTGCACTTCATGCATGTTCATCCTGATTCACAATCTCCACCCATATATAGCTTATTACAAAAGATGTGTTTCACTCAAGCCACACAACAACTGACGGACTCTTCGCTCTCCAACCGACTTCCCCACGGCCAACTTCCGCCGTGAGCGAGAAGGACCGACCGGGCGACTGGGCGACGGGAACGTGACGTGTGGGAAGCGATCAACGGGAAGTCCTTGAAGCTTACACTCCGATCTGAGAAATCCTTGAATCCCTGACCAAACTCATGGGTTCAACGTGGGATGGAATGGGAAGAGATGGCACTCTGTAGACGGATGACCAGTTTCTTTTGTCAAAAACAAACAGGTCGGGTGGTGAACTCTACTTCCCTGATTTGAGCACTTGAGGGGGACCAAAAATCCGCGAAAAGGTTTCTTTAAGGTGATCCATCTTGGAGGGTGGAAAGAAATTGAAACCGCAGTGCGCCCCATGTCCTCCTGACCATGAGTTGCTGGTAGCCACAACTGTCCTGGGCACTGGCGAGATGGTTTGACATCGAGATTGGTCTATAATGGGCTGTTGTGAGGGATAATGGGTCACTGTTCTTGGGGTGCAATATATCCCTACAAGTCCAAAGACCCAGTAAAAAACCTGGTTCGTTGCCTCATTGAGTAGTGTTTTTGTATGGCCAACTCCAGCAAAATGAGGACTTGTAGGCAACTTGTAGGGTACCCTTTTGGAATGCATACAACCTACGTATCTCACATTGAGGGAGACCACAATGCAGGAAGGAATATATGTATATGGGGAAACACATATAAAAATTATGTGGCGGCCAGAACCTTCTTTTTGTCTTGGACGTCCAGGACAAAGTCTTCACCTGCCATGTCTTTAAGCAAGCCTTCCAAACACTAAGAGACTATATACCCAAACACTCCATGGGATTGGTATATATGGCGATCAGTTGGCGTAGTATATATATATATATATCATACATGGAGTGTCCGGGATAGTTGGTGACATATCTAAACCAAACTGAACACTTTTCTACCTACCTGGGCGTAGGTCGTCCTGGTCCCAGTCTCACGAGCTAGAATGAAAACTCGAACACGTCCAGTCCAAATACACACCTTAGAATCATCATGGAAGTGGAACACCATTGATTTCTAGAGGAGCACGGCTCATTTAGGAGGCGATGGCATCAGCTTCCATGATGATTCCAGCTCCGTCCTGATGAGTAGCAGTCAATGACTCAATTCATCCCACTCCCTGCAGTCCAGTTGCTCTCCTCCACCTCAGCAAAAGGCAGAAACATGCTTGGTGACCATCCCCCTGTTCGTGACGTCTGAAGTGGAAGAACTGAAAAACTATGTCCATCTATTTCCACTCGTACAAATGGACGATTCACACCAGTTTCCAACCTACCAGCCAATCGTTCACGGTATTTACTGATGAAGGTGGCGCGCACCAAAAAAAACCAAGCAAATGGATGGCGTGCAACAACGAGACTCTCAGCCGCGTGCTTAAGCTGCGTGGGCTTATGTTTAAGCCACACAGCCGTCACAGCCTAGCCTGGTCTAGCATGGTCTACCCATGTCTAGCCATATGGATAGGTATACCAGGTACCCGGACTCAACTGCTCAAAGAACTCACTGAGTCCGGGACCGATCTCTCCGCCCTCCCAAGAGGTTTGCGGCACCTCACTGGGCCTCGGCCGCCCAACGCCACATGTTGCAACTCTGGAGGGGCAAGGTTAGGGATACGGAAAGGTTTGAGGGAATGTTGCTTTTGTCAATAGCTGGACTTGTTCGACTTGTGGTGTTCTGGAGAGGGGTCCAAAAAAACAACGGGGCTGCAGTCTCTGTTTCTAGGAGTGGGGAGGGGGTAGGGACAAAGCAAGAAGATGCATGTCACACAGTACAAGTACCGTGTTGTTGTTGTTGTTGGTGGTGGTGGTGGCGGCGGCGGCGTGGTGTTTCTTCTTGTTTGTCATACATGTTCGACGCCAGGTCCTTGTTCACCGGCAGTGATGGCTGTAGAATTGGCTTCAGATACTCGTGTGACTGTTGTTTTCTTTGCAAACACTGTGAGACGTTCCAACAAACAAACAACAAACAAAAGATCACACAGTTCACAATGAACTTGACTTGGAGCTTGAGCTCAGAGTTGAAATTCAATGAGGATGCAATCACATATCCGACGGTGCCTCCAAAAAGGATAGTGGCAACAACGTTAGAGCTTAGGGACAAGGCCCAATAACACAGTCAACATTAGAGCTTAGATACAAGAACGCTAGAGCTTAGCCTCGTCCCATCTTGCCGCCAACAGACTGCGAGGGCTGTGGATATGTCCTTAGACCGGCAAAGGCCGGTGCTCTGACTCAATCGCATGGAATACTATATGGATCCCCCGTATTCTACAGACTCCTGATGAAGATGCCCCCCCATGCGAAAAAGGTGTTGTAAACGGAATGGGTTTGTTAACCAGCCGTCGGAGTTAGATGGACAGCTGGCGCTGCTAGCTGAGTTTCAGCTCCATGAAACAAGAGTTGTGCCTGAAGATTCTGAAAGGCACCCATTCAGAAGGCAATTCCAAGACTCATAATCGCTTCAAGGACCTGAACCAACTGCGACCATCCCCACGTCACCCGACCAAAAGAGGTTTTTCGCGACCTGAAGAGAAGGACCCGTATACCCTCTGGGTACAACATAGTAAGGAGTCTACAAAAAAACCCACTGAACTTGTGCATCTCTGGACGTATCTAAATGTATATAGTCACCTATATAGTCCAAATAGGCTTCTGATCGCTCCAAAACCGATCTCCTCACAGTCTTTCCTCCTTCGTTTAGACCCCGGGGAGCCGCGAACCCACCGCGGGAGCGCCGGAAGTTCCGCTTCGCCACCGGTGTCACCCGAGGCTCGGCCCATAAGAGGTTGGAGGCCCTGAAGGAGCTTGGCCTTGGTCGAGAAGCAGCGCGGACGGCCCAGCACCGAGGCTTCGGTTGTGCTGAGAAGACGGAGCCGAGAAAAGAGTGCACTTCAACTGTCGAGATTTGGATTCCGGGAGAAGGGGGTTTGACCCAGAGGGACAAGAACAAACATCATCCGAATTGAGCAAAACCAGGTCTTTGTGAATTTCTTCTCCCCTTCTCACCAGCCAAGGGGCTGTCTCCTTGCCATGGATCGCTCTCCTGCCAGGGGTCGTCCATGGCGTGCAGCCCGGAGCGTTTCGGAGGTGGGAGGTGGCCGGGAAGAAGACCTGGAGCCCGGCCGCGCGAAGACCTGGATAAGCTGAAGCGGACTGCATATAGCCTTTGCCTGTCAGCTGCCGGATGCCTGTATTCCACATGCTGAGTACAGGAAGCGTAGCAGGATGGTGTTCGTGTTCATTAGTTTTAAAGAACTGTTGGGAAAGCGCTGTCTATCTATCTATCTATCTATAGAGTCGGGATGCAATTTCTCATGCAATTCCACATGTTCTAAGTGTGTTTGCCTGGAGCAAGGGCCACCTTCCCCATTCAACCTTCAGCATGGGCGAGCTACTAGCTCTCCCAATACCAACACGTGACACATGGATGCCCACTTATACTTTTGTTGCAGGTTAGTTGAGCTGTCCTGATGTTCTAAGTGGTGATCACAAGAGGCACCTTCGAGTCATCTACAAAGATAACAGTTCATCACCTGGGCATTCAGGATATTGTCACACCCGCAATTGCTCAAAAGAAGCATTTGCTCTAAGGTTTTGCAGCCCGAACGTTTTACATCTATATATGGAGTACTACCATCCAGTTATAATGCAAACCTTTGTAGTTTTGAACACTCTTTACGCCCATATCATCGATCATCATCGATCAAGAGGAGGCTGCGTTATATACCCACGAAGCAGGAACAAAGCTGGAAAACAGTATGTGCATGTATGTGCACCAAATCAGATTGGGCATGGGTTGCGCTGCCGATCAGTACACAATCGCACCGGAAGCCAGAATCTTCGAGTTCTTGATGTCTTTGTTCTAACCATGCTTGGGGAGATTGTTCTAAGTGATGTTTGCTGTGGGTTTGATGTTCTATGTAAAGGATTTGGGCATGTTCTAAGTCAAAGGCTAAGAACATACCACATGTTCTAAGTGATGTTTGTTCTAAAAAAAAACTGATGTTCTAAGTAAAGGGTTTGAAATCGGTGAAATCTTTTTTTGTTCTAAGTGGTTGTCCGTCACTATAGGTGCTGCCAGGATGAAATGTTAGAATAGGCTATGAAGCAGCAGCTTAATTGAGGAAGCATGCAAGAAAATGCAACAAATCTTATTTCCCAGCCCAGCCTCTGGAATTCTTTTTGAGCAGCATCCTTGCGGCAAACCATCCAAATGTGAAAGCGGCGACCATTGGACCTTGGGCCCTCACACCGTTTCACGAATGCGACCAACTACATCAACGATTCTGCCATGCTCCAGTGCTGTCACCACAGGACTGCACTCCATGTTTGGGAAAAAAGGTGGTTCGTTTTTTGGAGCTGTGAGGCTTGTGCTGCACAGCAAAACGAAACCGACCGATGCCGGGCTCACGTTTCGGGCCCACTGGTAAAACGTTCGGCTGCCGAACGCAACGTTCACCCAAAAAAGGATCCTGATGAGTGCTTTGAGCGACTGTTCGAAAGTCATCTTCTCAAAGCACGAGCAGGGAATATCTATAGAACTAAAGACTCTAAAGTCATAGTCAGTCTACAGAGCCGAGCAGTCAAAAATGCTGTGGGTTGCTTTGAGCGACTGTTCGAAAGTCATCTTCTCAAAGCACGAGCAGGGAATATCTATAG